GAGAGAGAGAGAGAGAGAGAGATTCTATGAGTATTATTTATTTGAATATGTTGCATTTCATTATTCTTAATTATAAATAAAAACTCTAAAATGATAACTATTTTATAACGAGTGAAATAAATATATAAATCTTATATTATATATCATGAAATAAAAATATAAGAAATTATTAATATTCAAAACTATTTTTATACTAATTAACATTCTTTCATTGGCTTATTACCTACAATTTATAATACTAGATACAATAATCATACCAATCAAATAATCATCCCAATCAAAGTTGAAATCCAATCACTAATCTCATCTATGCAAATGCCAAATCATATTGTACACATTACAAAAACAATACTAATCTCCATATATAACTATAAAAACACCACCAATATTGCTCCATTCTCTAAATCAATAGTAACACAACAATGGCTAAAAACTTGTTTTTCACTCTCATTCTTCTTTTCATGTCCATCATAAGACCAATACACTCTTGTTGGACAAAGAACTACACCATCTCTATATTCGACAGTATCCTCGACAAATCGGATAAGATATCGTTCCACTGCGCGTCAAAGGATGACGATTTAGGTAACCATACGCTAAATCGGGGCTTTTTCTACTCTTGGTCTTTTTGCGGTAACTTTTGGAAGACAACCATGTTTTTTTGTCGTTTTCATTGGGGTCCCAAACAGAGGGCCTTTGAGGTTTTTAACCATAAGTTAGGGGGGAGAATGTGTAAGAGTGGAACTTGCCTTTGGTCTGTAGCTGGTGATGGTTTCTATTTGAGCGATGGCCTGTTAGGCTCGCCCGTCAAACAATATGATTGGTAAAATAGTATGGTTGAATATAATATACCAAAAATAATAAGGTGTAATTTTTCAAAAATTTTCAGCATTATTATCCATTTTTAGCTGGCTATTATATTTGTTTGTCTCTTGTTATTGTATATGTTAATTTATTTGAAGGACAAAAAAATTCTAGATGATAACGAAATATAAAAATGAAATTTTAAAAATTAATGTTATTAATAATTTTTTTGAACAAATTCATATTTCTTAATTTATTCACCTAAAACTAGTATGAATCTCGTACGATGCACCGGTAAGAGATATTCATTAATATTTATAAGTTAAAAATTCTCATTAAATAATATTTATAAATTAAAAATGTGTAATTAATATTTAATACAATTTACTTATATCAATTTATTTAAAATTTTAAATTGGGCAAAATTACATAAATTATGTCTATTTAAAATTAGTACACAACTCGTGTTGTGCACGTAACTGGTAATAAAAATTATATTATATTCATTTCAAACTAAGTGTCATTTTAAAAATTTTACTCAGAAATTCGATTTGACTACATTGTGATTCCACAAAATAATATTTTTCATAAAATTTTATCATATATTTAGAAATTTATGTAAATAGTAAGTATAATTATAAAATTTATATTGTTTCTCAAATTAAAACAAATTTATATTCTTTCAGTAATTAAGTTGAATTTATTTTAATAGACTATCCAAATAACAAAACTAAGTAGATTTACTAAAATATAAATAATTAACTATTCCAATTATGTCCAAGTTAATATTGACCCGTAAGTTATAAATAATTACTTATTTGACTTTTTAATTTGGAACTCAAATTTGGATTACACAATAAATTCTTATATATATATATACATATATATATATCGCAATTTTCAAGATTTGTTGTCGGTTGTCGTAT